AAACAGCCTCCTTCCTGCTGCGTGCCCCGCCCCCAGCCACGCAGCAACCTGACGTGGGTGCCGTCTCCCCCCCTCTCCCCTCTCACCCCCCACACTGCCCCTCTCCTCCCCGCACTCTCACACTCCACCCAAGCACCCATGCTCTCTCCACTCACACTGCCCTGGATCCTCCACCCGCAGCCCTGCGACCGCGGCACCCTGCGCGACGCCATCAAGGGCGGCCTGCTGCACCAGTCCCTGCCGGACGGCGCCATCGGCATCAAGCTGGCGCCCGCGGCCGAGCTGCTGCTGGACGTGGCCTACGCGGTTCAGTACCTGCACTCGATGCAACTCGTGCACGGGGACCTGCGGGTGAGAAGAGAGGGGGGGTTACTGGGGCAACAAAGCCGGGGCTGGGACGCGGCTGACCGGGGCGGTTGACCAGGAAGGACCGCGCAGGGGATGATGGCAGCCTGGGGGCTGCCGGGTGGTTCTTGCAAGCTGCAGGAACTGTCCGCCCGCGAGCCAGATGGCCGGCTGGCGGTGGGTCACGGGGTCAAACAGCGCCGCGCCCGCGCTGCCCAGCACGCTCTCCCCAGATCGGACCCGCACACCTGTTAGTCCAGCCCCCTCGGCCCTAGACAATCTGATGAAACCCCAGACACACACACACACACACACACACACCCACCCACACACACACACACACGTGCAGCTGGAGAACGTGCTGCTCAAGACCGACCGCTCGCGCCCGCTGGGTGCGACCCCAAAGCTCTCGGAGTTTGGCCTCACGCGCATCCTGAGCGATGCCGACCACGCCGCCGGCGCCGCCCCCCCTGGCGGCGCCACCTGCGCGCATGTCGCGCCCGAGATGTTCCGGGCGGGCTGCCAGGTCAGCACGGCGGTCGATGCGTACGCGTTTGGCGTTTTCATGTGGGAGGTATACACCAGGTGCGGCGCCGCGCGGCGCGGCCGAACGCCCCCTGCGAGGATGGAGGGCGTGGGGCCGCCACTGGAGATGGGCGGGGCGGCGCGGGGCGCGGGGGCGGCGGGCGGTGATTTGCCTTGGCACCCGCCTGGGGCTGGTAATTCTGGACCAGGGGGATGGGCCGCAGCTTTGAATCCGCTCTCTTGCATAGCGGTGCACTTGCTCTGTTCCCCCACCAATCCCTTGTCGCTTCCACGCGCACCCAATGGTCCCTGCCCCCACCCGCCAACCCGCACGCGCCGCTCCGCAGCAAGAGAGCGTTCTCTGGCCTGCCCCGTGAGGCCGTCATCGAGCGCGTCTCCGTCAAGGGCGCGCGCCCCCGCTTCCCCTCGACCACCCCGCCCGCCTTCGCCGAGCTCGCCCAGGCGTGCTGGGCCGCGGACCCCGCGGCGCGGCCGAGCTTCACCCAGATCGCAGAGGCCCTGGACCGGCTGGTGGGGGAGCTGTCGGGGCGGCCGATTTGAATCCGCGCCCACAATCCTGCTGTCCCGCTCGGCCGATCCCGAGCGGCGGCGGGGGTGGATGAGACGGAGGCAGGTCGAGCTCGGCGCGCGGCGGCCGCTGCGGCACCTGCGCCACGCGGCGCGCGCCATGCGGCGGCCGGCGAGGGGTGAAACACGGCCGGGCGGCCCCGTCCTCGGGCGCGGCGGGCCCGCCCCCGGCGCGCCGCCTGCGAGCCCGGCGCGCACCGCGCCGCCGCCGGTAAGGGCTGCCCCCTCGTCTCGAGCCTCTTTGATAATAATCTTGCCCAAAATCGGGCGCATCGCAGATTGAACGCACGCCCCTATGAGCATGTTATGTCTGCCGGCGTGATAACGCAGCCGCGCCGCGACACCTCTGCAACGCAAGCCTGTGCAACGCACCTCCGTAACACGCCGGCCTCAACCCCCTCTGTTTGCGTGCGCGGCGACGCTTGGCGGCGGCGGGGGCCCCACCCAGGGGCCGCCACCGCCCTTCTGAGCGCGCGCCCCGCCCTTTTGAGCGCCCGGCATGCGCCCCCAGGCTGCTCTCCACAATACGCGAGGGGGGTGGAGGCATGTCATTTAGCCTCCACCCCTCCGCACCCCAACACGCGGCCTCACAATAAACCAACCGCCCTGAAGCCGCGGCGTTGATCTCAGTCAGCTGTGAGAGGTTTGCTCTCTCGCCCTTCGCGCCCCCCGCGCGTCGGGCTGCTATTGGCACGATTGCTACATCGCATGCGCCCGCGCCGAGCCCCGCTCACGCCTGCGCGTGCGCCCCTCGCGCCGTGCATCTCGCGCCGCGGCTGCCTCGGACGCCTCTCAACAGGCGCCCTTAAACCCCGGCGCGCGACCCCGAGCCGGCGCGAGGCGGCGCGCGGGGCGCGCGGCGCCGAGCCCCCCACCCGCGCGCCCGCGAAATCCAGGTGCTGCCCTCTTCTTTTGCCGTAGGTTAGGACGCCGCGCCGTCGACCACACCATCCAGGAACTTGCACCCCCCAAGGACCCACACATCCCCGTGTCGGCACACAAGCCCCCTCGCCCACAGCCCTCCTTGCCCCGGCGCCCCCTGCCATTCGCCCCCCCCCCGCGCCCTCTGTTCTCGGTCTGATAAGAGGTTCAGACCAGTGCCGGGTGCCCAGGTTTTGCGCAGGCTCCGTTGAAACCCGCAATAATATGTGCACGCCGCGCCCTGCCCCCGCCGCGCCAACGTCGCGCCGGCGCGGGGCCGGGCCGGCCCGCTCGCTGCCGCCGCCTTCGTCGATTGCTGAGCTGTCACAGGGATTGGATCCGCAGCTGGAGGTTGGGAGCAATCCGCCCCCTCGCCTGCCGCTTGGGCGCCGCGCGGCGCGTGTGGCGCCCCGGAGGTCTCTTGTCAAGCGCGGGGCGCCTGATCCCGCTGCAGCGTTGTCTTCTTCTCCCGCATTTGGCCATATTGCAGCCTGTTGCATGCAAAGGCACCCCCCGGCTCGAGGGCCCCTGCAGCGACCTGCCAGCTGGTCGGCGCGGCGGCCCCAAACCACTGTCGCGCGCGGCTTTGCTGTAGTGGCACGGGCCGCAGGCGCGGCGGCCGGAGTTTGCAGGCTGCTGCGCCCGCGGCGGGTCTCTGTCCCCAACTATAAACCCCTTGGGCAACACCGGAATGCTCCTCTGAGCGCCGGTAGACGTCAGAATTGAACCAGGCATGCTTGGATGTTTTGTTGTCAGTTGATGTCAGTTGGGGGAGCGACCGCAGGCTTTGCAAATCTAACCCACGGCGGCTTCGCGCCGGACGCCCGCCCAGCCCTGTGAGCGCCCACCCTGGTGTCTGCACCCACACGGCCGCGGCGGGAGGGACTGCACTTTCTGATATCCCATCCGCTGATCTGCCGCGCGCCAACCCGCACCCTCTGCTGCGTGGCGTTTGACTATGTAATAAGCGTCTGCAGGTTATGATTCTTTCATCACAGCCTTCACAGCCGCATTGCAGCGGCGCAAACAGGGCGCCGGAGCCCAAAAGAAACAGGGGGCCAGCTGGCACGAAACAGTTCTGCAGGCAGCAAGCAGCTAGGGCGCACAGACAGCATCGCGCCGCCGTGTGCTACAATCGCAACGTCTGATGGGGCGGCCGCTGATTTCTACCCCGACTGCCTAGTTGGAAGCCGCCAGCCCAGTCAGCCGTGCAGTGCCCCCGTTCACCCCCCCGCCAAAGTCGTCAAATGAATGCGCCGTCTAAGACGCATGCCCCCCATGATCGATGCGCTCTATCCCAGCAACAGCCTCTGCGACCCCCCCGCCGGCGCGCCCAGCGCCAGCCGCCCCACGCCGCCGCCGCCGGCCCCCGCCGGCGGCGGCCCCAGGCTGCCCGGCAGCGGCGGCACCGGCCCCAGCAGCAGCGCTGCCTTCTGCTGCCGCTGCTTCTGCCGCACCGCGTCCCGCATCAGCTCAACGTAGTCTGCGCTGCCCGCGGAC